TTTCAGTACTCCGTTTATTTTTATGCAATAATCTCATTGGTTGAAGCACTGCTTCAATCATGGAGTGTATGGAGGGCGTCATGATCACTGTTGACAGAAGTCTCGTTTCTTATTGAGAAACGTGGCAGTTAATTTTTTCCACCGTTGGCGACCTCTGCCATCAGATCAATTGTGACCTGATGGCCAGGAAGCACTGCTCCGCGATTTCTGGGCGTGAGGTCCCTATTTCTTTTCTTTTTGGTGCCTTCTCCTGTTTTCTCTGGCCAAAAAATTGTAATGAGCCTGTGGTGCCCCTGCCACACAGTGTCAGACTGGATAATCATACCTTCTATCCGGTTCTAGTGGGACCATGCTCTAGCAGTGAACAAGCAGACCTGAAACTTGAGAGTCCCCTAGAGCAGCAGGCTACCACATAATCTGAGAATCAAAAAGGAAAAGACAGAGGAGAAACAAAATGCCCCATATCATGCTAGTCTAGTTCCAAACGCATTACTCCGGAGCTTGTTTTTCCCCTTCGCGTGTGATTCAGTTCTGGGATTGAGCAGAGCATTTTGGGAATGTGTAGTGTGTTACGACTTCTCCTCGTTTTCATTGCAAGTGTCCTGCAGGCCACTGCCTTCTCCTCCCTCCTCAGCCTTATCCATTGGAGACAAAAGCAAAGATCAACAGACAGGCAGACAAGCAGACAGGCAAGTGACATTGATTTTCATTGGCAATACAGTCAGAAATTGATCAAGTGGTAGGATGTCACCCTGCACATGTCTTCTCGAGAAGGGATCATGCCAGACCAAAGTGCAACTGCATGGCTTCCAGTACCTTCAGCTCCGCATTCTGCACTTGCACTGCTCAGTCTCATGCCAGCCCCTATGAGCTATCTATCCGTTGAGGATGGAAATATCTGTGTCTGGGACGGTGGAGCCCAAGGTGGGGTTAATAGGTGATGTGCTCTTGAAGTGGGCCATTATCCCACATTGTGAGTTTTCCATCCCACATTGTGAGTTTTCCAGGCGTTGCCCCTCCCTTATTCAGCTGTGGGCGGAAACACTCTTGCTGGACCATGAAACCAAGTGCGGGTTTCCATTTTCTCGATTAGTCCCATCCCTGCACAAAGTGCTGAAGTCTCATCGCTTCAAACCACCAGCGTCCTGCCCAGCTATCTTACATCAGGACTCCAGTTAGCAGGGGGCTGCAGTCAGGTTTGACGAAATGGACCAAAAAACGCTCGCAGTTGGCCACGGCAGTCTGGTAGTCCAGGGGCAAGAAAATCAAGCATTGGGTAAAAGAAGCTTGGAAACACGATGGTTTAAACTTCAAACCATCACTGTGTCATCCCCTGCCCTGGGACTGCGCTGGCTACCACGAGCACAATGAGTCAGTTTAGACTGCAGGCCCAACTGAGCTGTTGGCCCCGGGTAGGCCTCACTGTCCAATGGTTTGGAGATCCCGGGTGAGGCAAGCCATCTCTACTCAGTTAATCCCGTGAGGGCCACAGTAATCAATGCTGGCAGGGAGTTATCTTCTCACTGTGCATCTGGACTCTGTGTTAAGGGATGCTGGACCTGGTTTCCAGCAGATGTGGCTCCCCACCAATAGATGGAGCAGCCCGGTAGGCAAAGCCTCAATCTCGGTGGTGCTCTTAGCACTACCAGGATAGAGGTCTGCACAAGGGCCAAAAAAAAAAAGAAAAAAAAAGGAAAGAGAAAAAAAAAAGAGATTCAAATTCATTCAATAATATTGTTGACTTCGTGCCTGTTTGAAATTTCTTTTTCCTTCTTCTTTTTTGGTTTGTTTGCTCGCGTGTATGCGTGTTGCAAACACCGCTCCCAAATCCATCCGTACCCAGTTAGAATTAAAATTTAGAAGTGATTGCAAGGTTGTGTGCGTATGGGTGTGGGTTTTAGGGCCAGGCCCTACTGAACTCTGCCTTTATGTACCCAGTCACGAACTTGGCCTCGTGCGTACTCGGTGCCACTATGCGACTCGTTCTGGAGAGCAGTGTGCGAGTATGCCTGGTGCTGAAGAAGATGCCAGCAATCAGATAACCAAAGGAATGAGAAATACTATGCAGCGCAATACTATGCAGGGTCTGCAGACAAACTGGGCCTTCACCAAGTGACAATATTTTAAATTTTCTTCCATTTTTCTTCTTTTCGTTTTCGGGAATTCTTACCTGAACTCACTTGTGATCAGATACCTTCAGCACCAGTATAAACCACCAGTACGTCTGCCAGCTGCTTTCCCGAAGTTGCGGCTTGCATGCTGCCGCATTTTTCGGGCCTCAGCCGTCGGAGTGAAATGGCCAGCAGCGCCAGCCAAAAAGAGGCCCGGGCCGGGTCGTTTTTTTAAGCCCACTGTGCCTTTCCAGCCCCGGAGCAAAGTGCCTCGGAAAAACTGGTGGTTTAAATTCGTTTCAATATTCAAGTTCCGGTACATGAATCAGATTCAAGACAACGTCAAGAGTTTGATTGGTACTTGGGACTTGGCTCCACTACTCAACATTGAAAACATACCTGTACTGTTGATGGACCAAATACATTCTAACCGATGGAACATTTTGAATGCATTGGGACGATTTCCAGCTCCAGATTCATTTAGAATCTTGTGCAGTGGAACAAGGCCTTTATTTTTTCACAAAGTGACAACAGGATAGCACTTTCTGGAACAACGTGACAGCAGTATCATGCTTCCTCGAATGTTAGTTGTTCCAATGGTTGCAGAAGTTGGCCAAACATGAAGACACATGTGGGTTTCTAAAAGTTTGAAACCCTCCCCCCCCCCCTCACCAAGAAAAAGTGGAAACAGAAATAGAGTACGAGGGTGCATCTTTTTTTGTTTTTTTGGGAGGGGGGGACAAATGCTCCAATCTATTCGTGGGCAGCAGCATGTGCTGGGAACCGGGCCCATCGTCCCATATAGAGTTACACAAGTAATTTGAGATACCGGGGCCATTACGCGGCTTTGGTTAAGAATCAATCTGGGAACTATTGAGGGAATTCAAGAATATTAAAGAAGAGGTTGGAAAACTATGAACGACTTCTCTACGAATGTTCAGAACCCCTACACTCCCAAACAAAACTCTCTGAAACTGTCCAACACTCTCTTATTCCCTGTTGAGCTCTCGCAGGCCTCACACCTCCCCCGGCTAGGTTACAGAGCAACGCAACTCGCCCTATCTCCGGCCAGCGCCGTCCCAACAGCAACCCTTGGAATGCCCACCCCAAAGCATCCCCAGATCTCTCTACCAGGCCTCGCGCTCCTGCAATCAGCAGGTTACAGGGCAACACCCCAGCACCGGCCAGCGTCGTTCTGGCAACAAACAACCACAGATCCATGAATGTACCAGTATCAAACAGCGTAAAGCGGGTTGCTAGAAGTCCCCAGAATCCTAAAGCATTCGCAAAACCACCCATAAACAACTGAGTTATATATGTGCTTTAGGGTATATCTGTATTCAGTTTCGCCGTATTTGGAGCAGTAACAAAAAACTTAGCAAAAACACCAGACTCAAAAAAAGCTTTGGCAAACTCCGAAAGCCACGCCGAAAGGGGTTTTATAGTACTCTTGATTTTGATTTTTTCGTTTTTTTTTTGCCTGATTGTTTTTTTTTATGTTTGTATTATGACCCTGCATAGTTTGTTTGCAAAAGTTTCGACAACATTGCTTGTAGCGACGCGGCGAAAACCCCCGAATTTTTAGCCTTCCATTAACCGCTAGTGGAGACCAACGGACTTAGGGCCTCGTTGGACCCTCCTTGGAAAACCGCAAAATCAGAAATCGGCGTCGTTACACCGCGTCCTAAATCGCCAAATCCCAACAAATGTGAAAACGCTCCCAAGAGATTTCCTTGGGTTTCTCGGAATCTCCAGCCAAAACGTCCTTGGATTCAAGGGGTCCTCGCGAGGTCCCTAGGGATAAAGGATCTGCGATAGACGGAGCGTTGTGGAGCTCGCGAGCACAAGAGAATTCGGAGTCGATGTTGGTGCACAAGGTCGTTCGTGGTCCATTGGGCGGACATCGCCAGCCTCCAGTACCCGACGGCCCACCAACGGCCTTTAGACCGTTGTCGTTGGTGCGAAAATGCGTGGGGCGCTTCGTGGAGCAGGGTTTTGTGTGCGCGCGTCGACGGCCTCCGCGTCCAACGGTCGATTTTTTCGATTTTTTTACAAGCGGCGTTGAAGCACTGCCGGCCGATTCCAGTCATCCGCGTAGCTTGTTTTGTCGGCTATTGTCACCCACGGGGATGCAATCTTCGTTTTGTACACGCGTCACATGCTGCGATTCATGGTAGACGTCCTCCGACGATTCCCGCTGTTGCTGCTGGCCACCCTTCTCTTGCTCGTTGTCGTGTTGTTCCACGTGTGCGTCGTTGTGCGGGGTCCTCGCGGCGGACGAAAACAACGAGCTTTGAGGAGGACAACGATGCACAGGCGTAAAGCATCCAACAGACAACCGGCGCGCCCCGTCGAGTACTCCGCTTCAGGAGCGACGGTTGGGGCGCGTCTTGCAAGCGCGTATGACCCGACATTGTAGCCTTTACCCCCGGATCCCGAAGAGCAACGGGTAGATGATCTGTCCCGCACTCTGCCTCTGGGGAGCGGATCGACGCAGGACTGGATGGGGAGTCATTGTGGACAACGGGAGGCCATGACAAGTCGTCATTCGTTCTCTGCTCTGCTAGCAGGCGATGTCGGTGGAGGCGATACGGAGATTGTGGACTTGGATTTTGGTTTGTCAAGCGGGAGTGTTCCAGCAGCTACACACACTCGCACGTTCAACCCAATGCTTGGTGCGACCGTCAGCGGATCGAGTGTGCATGGTGGAAGGTCCTCTCCGCAAGATGCGAGCCCTGATGGGTGTTGTCCGCCGCCTCCGTTTTCTCGGTGTGCGGGATCATCCGGTGACATGCTTCGCACGTCGTTGCCCCCCCCTTCGACATCGCCTTTGAGTGCACTGCACCAGAGGATGGGCGCATCGGCGGGGAACACAAGCGTTGCCAGATCGGACGAAGTTGGCGGGCAGGCGTGGGAGTCATGTCGGCGACAGATGCGTCAAATGGCCATGGAGAACATAACGAATGGGGTGTCCAGGATGCGTGTGGCGAGTGGAGTGCAGAAGACTCCCAACGGACGAGCGATTACGAATCTACAGATGTGATTTGTGAAGACGAAGCGGAAGACGCAGACGACATGGAGATTCGACCCCTGCCTGTGCGTGGCAGAGAAAGGGGTGGAGGCGTGCGTCAAGAGAAGGCTGTTTCCCGTGTTGGTCGCCACTCGAAGGGTCCGTCAGGCGAGAAGGCTGGGAAACAACCGTCATGGAGTGTTGAGGAGATGTTGAAGCTCGCCCAGGCGAAGAGGGATCAACAAGCTCATTTCGAGGGCATGCCGCACAACTACGAACGAATGCGCAACAGGGAGTGGAATCTGCAGGACCTTCAAAAGCGTTTGCTGGAGGTGGGGGTGGATAGGACGACTAACGACATCGGCAAGAAGAGGGACAACCTCTTCCAACAATACAAGAAAGTGCAACGGTATCAGAACGCCTCTGGGGGGAAGAACTTCTTCAACCTCGCACCTGTTTTGAGAACGGAAGAAGGCTTCAACTTCAGAATGGAGGAGCGCGTGTACGATGAGATAGACGCCATGTCGAAGGGCAACAAGACCATCTACCCGGACAACGTCGCCGACACAAGCGCCGTGGAGGACTGCAGATGCCACGTTCCCCATCCATTGCTGGAGAATCCGTCGTCGGGGGTGATGGGGGTGATGGGAACAACGACGACGGAGGGTCGGCGCAGGAGTCCGGGTTCAGTGCAGGCAGCACAGGAGGGAACTGCAAGAGGAAGAACATGCGCCAACAGACATTCGAGGCCATTGCTAAAGTCATGGACAAGCACGACGCATTGATGGCTGACGCCGTCGAGGGGGCCAGCAAGCGACAGTGTTCCATTTTGGAGCGGCAGTGCGATATTCTTGAGCGTGAGGTTGATGCCCAGCGGCGGCACTACGAGGCGTCCGACTAGGCTAACAGGTTGCTGTGCACTGCATTGTTGGAGATCGCCGAAGCCATCAGGGACAGGTCCTGATGCCGCCTTTGCTCCTGCGTCAGTCGTCCTGTCCGTGCATCCGCAGGCGATGTGCCCGTCGCTTGTTGTGTTGTACTGAAGCACTCGTCCACGTACGTATATACATTTAGTTTAGTGTATAATACATACATAGATGTGTATGTTTTTTCTTTAGGTGGGGGGGGGGAGAGAGAGAGAGAGAGAGAGAGAGAGAGAGAGAGAGAGAGAGAGAGAGAGAGAGAGAGAGAGAGAGAGAGAGAGAGGA